CGTCTATCACACACATTTATTGAATAACTTTACCAAGCATACACAGTGAAAATTCTTTTTTGCTCTACTTCATCAGACAATTTCAACAATGCATACCACATATCCAAATCACACATGCCTTCCTTATAGACTTCAGTCAATTCAGGCAACACATGAAGCATTTACAAGCGCATACACACATTTCTACCCAAATACACACTCATTAACTAATGTTAGGCGAGGCAGGTCACATCCGAGTTTGACATGCATTTTTGGGAGACTTTAGTGATACATGTTAAATCAGTCTTTGCATCTTATTTCCAAATAATTTTGGCAATGCCCAATACATATTCAACTGTTTAAGCCTGCATCCATAGACAATTTCGGCTACACACAGGACAGGCGCAGTTCGCTTTTGCTTTTCTTGAAAATGCATGCGCCTCGCTCGCGCACGTTCACATTTCCTAAAACAATGCATCCAGATGTTTGCTTATGTGTTCATAAGCAATGTTGATAATGCTAATAACATCCCTGCTTCCCATACGCATACTTTTAACGATTAAAGCAATGGACATGACAAAACCACGTGTGGTCTTGTTTCTCAACGTATTCACTAGCACACCTAAAATCCACTTTTTCCCTTGCTTTGATGACTACTCTAATGAGACACTCCACAAATCCAAATAAACCCAATGAAATGTTACGTAATGCAAGTGGCAACCTGGCGTGCATGAAAACACTCCTAAGTATTTTCAATGCTACACAATACATTCTTGATGATTCTGCATGTAGATGTATGCAAACAATTAAATCGTTCGCATGAATTCCACGCGTTTCAAAGGAATTACTGAAGTAATTTAAGCAGCACACGCGACGAAGCCTGGTGCATACACTGGTTTATGCATAACGTAAATAACACGTGACATTTTTGCTTTTCACATGCATCCCCCTGAAATTCTCCACTCTACGCGTTACAATCATCAGAGCGAATTTCAGTCCTAATGGTGCAACCACTTCACTCGCTCGCGCCATCACACCCACGGTCAAAATGGAAATAGTCTCATGTTGGAAATCGTCCGACTCCAATTTTGTGCTTCACTTAGTGGGATTGGGTCTGTAGACCACTATCTTGGTGGTATCAATGTGCTTCCCATGAATGCACCTGTCTAATGACGTGATTACATCTATTCGCCTCACTGCAGTCAGTTGCAAAATTTTCAGGCGAGAGACGCCTCGTTTGTCAGGCAAGTTGACGCATTGCCTTAACAGATGCAGCTACGCAATCAACGCTCTTTTTTAACTCAT